ATGGTGACCATCATGAATCAGAAGGGCAAACAGACACAGGATTTAAATAGAGCAAACTAATTTTACTTAACCATCATAATTAGAGAACGAATATCCAAATGGCAGAAAATCGAAGTGCTCCTCAATAAAAGTTAGGGAAAATCTTGCAGAATAAGTCCGTAAAATGCTTCATTTTAGGGAATAAAGAAAATCTAAAATAATTATAATTGGTCTATTAAACAGGTCGAGGGAAAAATCTTTTTCACGATTCCTTAAAAGGGCAAAAATCAAAAACATTAATTAATGCATAACTTGAAGACAAAAATAGATTAAAAGACAGGATGAGAATTTTAAAGAGTGAGAAAGAGAGTTTAGTTTAGCGATATATAGTTATATATACTCATGTATACACACATAAGTTATGTTATGTATGCACTAATTTGTATATCTCTAAGAGGACACATAATATCTTACCTTGTGAACTAGGTGACTCATGAATTACGAAAGCTATTCTTCCATATCCCACTCATAATCTCCGCAGAAGCCATTTAGAACAGGTTGAGCAGGAATGCCACGTCTGTAAAGTAAAAAACAAAATTTAACTAAGATGGAAAAACTAGCATAATTGTTTCTAAATCTGTACACACAGAATATCATTTACTTGTTTATAGTTTGAATGCCCTTTAAAGGTGAAATAGTAGTAACAAAATCATTTTCGTTTGGACAGTTTATTGTATTTTATTACTGAACACCCGACCCAATTATGGTTTTACGACTACTATTGTTCAACTCCGTAGCCTTGTAATTTTGAGCCCAATCCAGAAGACAAGAGAACTCCTGGATCAAGTATTGGGAGAAATTTGCCTTAATGTTGGATTTTTTGATAGAACTAACCAGCATTTTTGTTACATGAAAAGGAAGACCATGGGAATCTCCCACGGTTAGCCTGACGGCAAGGGGACTCTAACCCATGATCCGTCTACCACTGAGGATATTTTACGTCAGCACTATGGTTGGTTCGAGCAGGGTGCAAATTATGGGTGTTCAAAAGGTACTAGGGATTTCTAGAGGGTCGTTAACAATCTATAGATGAAATTATAATTTATCGCACATTAAAATTCATCGATATGTTGGTTTGGGGTCAAATAACTACACTTGGGACAACAGTTTTTGTTGGATTTATGTAAATGCTTGATATTGCTTAATTCAGGTATGGACATTTTAAAGCTTAAATTAGTTTCGCTCCCAAAGCTACAGATTTTATTTTTAAATGTCATTAGTAGTCTATTTTTTTTATCAAACTAGTGCAAGTTTAAAAACGTTATATATAATCCGGAGTTGCGTAATTTCTCTATACCATTTTTTAAGTGAATAAAAATGTTTTTAGCACACAATTATAAAACTATTTTATTTTAAAATTCATTGGTGCAAAGTAATTTTAGGTTAATTTAATGCTTTTTTTTAAATTTAAAAATAATCGACATTTTTTTTTTGAATGGTATAATACACAAACTGTAGATGATTTTAAACGAAGTAATTTTTTGACAGAGTGGTATAGAACTTCTCGCTTCCGTGTCACAGGTCTGAGGTTCTATCCTCGGACCGGGCAAAGATGGCTCAGACTTTCATCCCTTCAGTGGGTTGACAAAATGAGTACCAATCACGTTTGGAGACTAAAAATTGTTTTTTTTTTATAACCGTCATTGAACAGCCGACCCAATTTTTTGGTTTACGTCCAGTAGCCTTGTAATTTTGAACCCAATCCGGAGGACAAGGGAACTCCTGGATCAAGTATTGGGAGAAATTTGCCTTAATGTTGGATTTTTTTATAGAACTAACCCGCATTGGCGTTACATGGAGAGGAAGACCATGGGAACCTCCCACGGTTAGCCTGACGGCAAGGGGTCTCTAACCCATGATCCCTCTACCACTGAGGATATTTCACGTCAGCACCGTGGTCGGTGCAAGCAGGATGCGGAATTCGTATCGACCAGCCATTGCCGGGATCGAACCCCGGTTCACCTCATTGGAAAGTGAACGCTCTATCCCCTGAGCCATCGCGGCTCAAATATTGGGGGTTCCGTTTTCAGTCCTGACCATCCCATCGGAGAATTTATTCACGCCACTGAGAATTGAAAATTTAAAAGGACAAAATCCCAAACTCCGATAAATAGATCTTGAAAAATTAAATATTGAAAATTCGACTTTTTCAAAAATTTTCTTACTTGAAAACTACTTCCATTTAATACCATCATTGTACTGTTTTACAATTCCAGTCAATTATTTGTTTACATACCTTAACATTCTGCAGCGATGTTCGTCCAGTCTGAATGCAGCACTATCAGGATCTGTAACGTAAGATTGACTCCACAATCTTTCCGCAACAGCTGATGCTCTTGGCCACAGTCTAGACAGAATGTTTGTACCGTCCACATATTCTCCCCACATGCATGCTTCACCACCAATCACCAAATCTTTTTCAGCTTCTGTACCTGTTGGATGACCAAAAAAATTGTTCGTAAGAACATAAGCGCAAATAAGTAAGCAAATAAATAAAGTAAAATTAAAAAAAATCTGTGTAAAAATATTTTGTTTCGAATGGGAGTACCACAATTAAATCTGATTAAAATTATCTCAATGAAATAAAATATGCAGCTGGATATTGATGAGAGCTCGATATTATATCGGTAAAATATTTCAAGACTTTGCTGTGTGGTTCAATATCGTTTCATAATAAGATCTACAAATATCATGGCAACAAATTTTTAGCTTTTTGAAGAAGTATTTTTCAAGTGGTAGTAAAATAGAGGATTAATCAATAATCGCTACCAGAAAATGTTTCAGTTTTCCTATTACTTAAAAAAAATTATTGAATTATAATCATATCTGCACACATAACCGGTCGTATTTTGAACCCAAAATTTCGCACATTTTATGAATGTTAATCAGAGTTTTTTTTCACAAAACTTTTCAAATGTTAAGTTTTTTTTAAAAAAATTTATTTTATAACCGTCGTTGAACAGCCGACCCAGTTTTTCTTTGGGTTTACGACTACTAATGTTAAACTACGTAGCCTTGTAATTTTGAACCAATCCAAAAGACAAGGAAACTCCTGGATCAGTACCCCCAGAGCTATAATTTGTTATGGAAACATGGAGGACTTTGCGACTCGACAGATTTAACGTGCATCAGTCACTATTTACAACACGGGGAGTCTTCAGCCGGCCGGGATCGAACCCACGACCTCTTGGACATGGGTCCAGTTCATAAATTAATCTCACGTTCATAAATTAAGCATAATCCGAGCTTCCGGTAAATAAAGGTAAACAAGCGTAACACATAAAGTCCATCTCTTAAACAAAAAATAAAGAACAAAAAAGATGATGTAAGTATGATACCATTTATAAAAGCTACAATTTTCTTCTGCTTGGAGCAGTAATAAAAAATATCTCATATATAAAAATTTTATATTACATGGTTGGTATCATAGTTTAATACGTTATATGTCTCATTTATATGGTGAATGCAAAGCATCAAATTATCGTGCCGATCTTACGGAAGATTATTTCACTCAGAAAGCAATGGTCTCCGAAGTTCCGATACGCATGTAGGAGGTGATTGATGGGCTGCAACTAGTAGGTCAAGCATATTTTACACATGTTTCATCATGAAAAATTATATTTTTGATGGTAACCAACATAAGAAACCATTACCTCAATGTAGGAATTTGGACTGATTTATGATGGTCCAACATAAGGATAACAACTTGCTTTGATGGTTTGTTCGTGATGAACCATCAGAAATTTCCATCATAGTAGTTTCTTAGAAATCAAATGTTGGAACGATCATGAACCACCATCACCCCAATGTAGGAATTCGGACGGTATCTATGATGATGTATGAATGAATGTATGGCGATTCAACATAAAGAAACCAAATTGGCACATTCCTGAGAACCGACAAGAATTCTAATTAAACTATCATTGAAATGTATAATTCGAACCATCACGGATCGTCATGGACTGTTGGTCCAGGAGTATCAAACTTCTCTTGATAGTTAACCGTCATAGTATTAAAGTAGTATTTTCCATCATGGAATGATGGAAGTTTGTTGGCATATCAGAAACCATGAACGTAAAATGAAAAATGTTGGATGATGGTGACCATCATGAATCTCACTGAAACTAACATAAACCATCAAAATATTTTGATGGTGCCATCAAAAAACTTGACTTGGAGATGCTTGTTTATTGGTCATTACCGATATAAAAAATATTTTTAGCTCAGCTTGTTATAAGTTTGCTAAGGATTCAAACCCTAACAAACAATACGGATTTTGTCCAGGAGTAGCAGGATTCTGCTTCGTTTCTATAATCACTGCTCTCGGGCTAGAGCGGGCATGGCAAATTGGGATATGATCGTGCTCTACCTTCACCTTATAAAGTCTATGCAGAATATAAGGAGGAAGAAAAGAATAAAAAAAAGAGCAGGAAAAAAATGTACGATAAAGAAAATTGTTTTAGAGTAACTAAAAAAAGAACAAAAAAGCTTAATTAAACCTTGTTAGCAGAATCCTAAGACTTCATAAAATGGTACCACTGCGATGAATCACGTGATCTGGCTAGCCAATTTGACCCAAACTGTCTCACATGAGCGCTCTCAGCATTTTGGGGATATGCCATAGTTAACTAGCCCACTAAAACTGGAAATTAAGACAATTTACATGCTCGGTAATAAAAATGCGTTTTATATCTGAACTGTCAGTGGTCTTCCTGTCTTTTTTATTTCGTTTATTGCACAAATGGTACAAAATGCAAGCGTTACGTTAAATAAGGGTTGTGTTTTATGATCATCAAAAATGGTAATCTACATAAATAACTGTACGAATGCCATTAAAATTTAAACTCTCTGCACATACAGAAGCAAAGTTAACATTGTTGCTACATTAAAAGAATTGTACATTCTGTTAAAATTTTTTCAAGCTATAATTTGTTATAATATCCAAATTATTTCCTTCTTAAACTTTTGTGAAATCGATTGCATATAAGCCATGCGAAGAACATTAAAGAGATTAGATCATTTTTTTTCAAAATTTGCTGAAGTCAAATTATTATCTATCAAGTACATAATATTATTATAATATTATATGATATTTAGTACATAATATTATTACAATTGGGAACATCTTACCATTGAAGTTTTGAGGATCGCATTCGTAATATCGCTTCCAATCTTGGCCGTAAGAAATGTAATTTAAATACCAGCAAGCAGACAAAATGATCTGGTAACCTTTTTTAGCGACGGGAACTATGTAGTTTTCCCATCTGTCCATACTGTAATCAAGATAAGTATCTTTCCAAACTTCGACAATGGAATCTGGTTCAGCCTGCAAACGGAAAACACACATGAAATTTAACAAACAACTTTAGAAAATTGAGTTCCATAGAAAACGTTTTCAAACGCTGTTATTTTTATTACAATTGTAAGGAAGCATAAATTTTTGTCACAAAGACGATTAGCTTGCATCTAAAAATTATTTATTCACAAAGCTACAGATGCACAATGTAGACACATAACAATATTAGCAGAGACGCAACATTTTATTTTATAATTTTATAACCGTCATTGAATCGCCAATTTTATAACAGCCAATATTTGGGGTTACGACTTCTAATATTCAACTCCGTAGCCTTATAATTTTGAACCCAATCCAGAAGACAAGGGAACTCCTGGATCAAGTATTGGGAGAAATTTGACTTCGTGGAGGACTATTTGATGGAACTAACCCGCATTTGCTTTATATGGAGAGGAAGACGGCGAGAACTTTCGCGGTTAGTCTGACGGCAAAGGGAGTCTAACCCATTATCCGTCGACCAATGAGGATATTTCACGTCAGCACTGTGATCGGTGCAAGCCGGATGAGGAATAGTATCGACCAGCCATCGCCGAGATTCAAATCCGGTTCACATCACTGGAAGGCGAACGCTCTATCTCCTGAGTCATTGTGACTCAGATGCAACATTTCAAAAAACCACCATCATATTTTTTTTACCACTCTCAACTTCTCGTCTCTTCAGGAAGAAAAGAAAACTTTAAAAAAAAAAAAAAATTTCTGCGCCATCTAGCGGCCAGTTTCTTACACAATGCATTTAAAATACAATGAAAATCAAGGTAAGTAACCAAGACTTTAATATTATTTTATTGCTATTGGGGAAAAAACTACTAAAACACAGCATAAATATTAACTACTCACTTGTACATCATTATCAATAGGATCTTGCCAGATCATGTATTTGTACCCTGTATCTTTGACGTTTTTGAGTGTTTTCTTGACGTAATGTTGTTCAACTTGATTATAATCCGTATAGTTGTGCTTCTTCATGAACTCAGTAATTTCTGGATTAGATTTCCTAAAAGAATAAGAACATGAGATATAACACCAGTTCTTAGATTTGTGAATACATCTCAATCACACGTTAATACCTGCTCAAATATGTGTTTGTTACAGATTTTTTTTAAAATTTAGGTTTGTACGTATTAATGCATGGAATGATTTGTATATAATTTCGTTCGTTTTTGATTTCGAAAGCTGAAAAATTTAATTACGGGAACGAAAAGTCAAAATATAAAAGAAATTTCGCTCAGAGAAGAAATGATCAAAACTTAAATAAAATTTTAAGAATTGAAATTTAAGTAAAATGTATAGAATAAATTTAAATAATTAAAAAATTTCAAATCAACATGCTTTATATCAATTTTCTAAAGCTTAGAGCTGAATGTAGGGGTTATTGAAGATAAACAAGAATATTTCTTTCTAAACAGCATACTTTATATCAATTTTCTAAAGATAAGAGCTGAATTGATTAAGAGGCTTACCAACAAGCATAATATACTTCGTCCATTCCAAGGTGGATGTATTCATCACGGAATACGCTTTTCACTTCTTGAACCAATGTCTTGAATACATCATAGGTCTTATCAAGCATTGGATTTAGGATCTCTGCTGCAGCATGCTCTGGATAATAGGGAGTATAGGGCTCATCTGGACCATCTCCGTAACAGGGAGTAAGAATGTCTGAAAAATAAAAATAAGTTCTAAGTTCGATTTATATATATATATGTAACACAGAAAGCTTTAATTAATCTTTTCCTGCTATTTCTTTTCCGTTATTATTCTTTCTCACACTTTTAAATTCATATCCTGTCCTTAAAACTATTTTTGGCTCAACTATGCATTAATTAAAGCAGGATATTTTTCCCTTTGCTCACTGTGGGAATCGCTCGACCTATTTGATAAACCAATTACAATTACTAAGATTTCCCTCTTTCCCTGAAACATTTTATGGATTTACTTTGCAAGATTTTCCGTCACATATAATTGAAGTAAGCGAAGATAGCTCCTTCGAGATACTAATATTTTATTGAACATATTTACATTTATATACAAGTTGGTTTGATTTACAAGAAGCATCATCACAGCAGGTGATGAGAGAAATACTGACAGGCTGTCATGCGCGTGCTGGTATTTATACAATTCTAAGAATATGACGTCAGAACTCTTATTTCAGTTCACTTCAAAAATAAGTANAAAAATAAGTAAAAATAACATGTAAAAACAGATAATAAAATAAAATAAAAAGAAAAAACATTAAAAAGGGGGGACTATAAAGCGAGTAGCAAAATCAGAACAACTTACATGGACGGATATTTTTCAAGAAGTATTTAAAAATGTTTTCGCAGAAAGATTGCCAGATTACAAAATAAGAAAACAAATGAAACTTATTGTTTTTCTTAACTTTCTTAGTGTTTTCTTGTATTTATTTATTATATATATATATATATAGACAACCGACTTCAAATATCGCAGTGACATAAAAAGTGACTTTACGGTAAATCGATGTACATATTTTTTGAAAGTGTGGCTTTCACTTTCTACACATACTGTACTACATTAACTTTTCCAACATATAACTAGAAATAGCGTGCATGAAATAAAAGTTTGTGTAAAGTTTAATGGAACGAATAAGATGCGTTCTAATGCTAAAGACGACTATCTTATTCTCGTATTACAATAATGAAACAGAATTTCGAATTTTTCGAACGGCAACATTTACTCTTTTTTTCATCGAATAAATAATTTTTTTTTCTAATTTCTAGACTCCCTGCATTGTCAAAACAGTTTAGAAAGATAAATTAAAGAAACCAATATGAGTATTTTAGTAAGGAAAATAGTATTTTTAAAAAAGTTGATTGATATGTTTATAGCTCATACCTGGAAATGCTCTTCCCAATGCCTGAGTGTGTCCTGGAGTGTCGAATTCCGGAATAACTCGAATTCCACGATTTCGGGAATACTGAATCAATTCCCGAATATTTTCATGGGTATAAACGTGTTTAGGACTATAAGCACCCTATGAAAGAAAAACAAAAGAACATCTTAGAACTAGTCTTTTATTCGTTGTACAATATTGAGATATCTTACACCACTTTATAACATGTCTTAACTAATGTTTGCAAGTATTCGAAATAAATTTTCTACCCCAACAAAAATTCCCCTTTCATCTTTTGAATTTGGTAAAACCAGAATTATTGTCTGCTTTTTAGACCACTTCAAAAACGTAGATTTTTAATTTTTTTTAAAAAGTTTAATTTGATTATTTTTAATCCAACTACCCAACAGGATAAAAATAAATGTAGATAGGTATTGTTTCTTAATATCTAAAACACAAACAAAAAAGAAACTTACACACATAAAATTACATTAACACGTTGAATGCCATGGGGATTAATCAAAAATTAAACTACAGTAGGGAACCGATTATCCGGAACGAGCGGGACCCTCGCTATTCCGGATAACTGATTTTTCCGGTTTTCTGAATCGCTACAAAAGCCGGTTTTTTATTGTTAAACCCAACTAAAAAAATAAATATTTGGAAATAATCTTAAAAAGAAGAAAAAATGATGAAGTATTACACTAATTATTATTTCCAAAATGATGATAAGGTAAAAATCTTTCAAAAAAGAAAAAAAAATCCTAAAACCTTAAGAGGAAAAAAAATTTTTTTTTTTTCAAATTGCGGGAAAATTTATCGAATTTCGTTCCGGTTTTTTGGTTTTCCGGTTTTTTGATTTCCGGATAATGGGTTCTGTACTGTATTAACAACCGTTTACTGTTAAATGATGAACTTCTCAAAAGCTGAAGAAATTAGTAGCTCCAAAAACTCCGTGTTACGGAACAGATCTATTCATAAATGCATTTCATGCGCTGACCTGGATCTCTGGGAGAGTTTCCACATCATGCAAAACAAAAATTATTGCCGATCTTGCTGCTACTCTGCATTTTTCAAATAACTGTAAATCGTTATTTTCTTTTAATTTGTTAACTCTTACTGTCAATTTAATAATCGTATTTTTTAATTGTATATTTACCTCTCATGTATGACGTAAACTTTGTGGATTTCAATCATCTCTATTTTACCATCCCTGTAATTTATCATACAGATGAATACCTACCTATGTGCCATCGAAACGCGTATGGGTTTTTAAAAATTATTTTCACTGTTTGTGATTTTTAAACGTTGTTATTATTGAAATGTATATTTAAGGTTTAAATTTTATTAAGGTTTGAAATTTATATTTAAGGTTATTGAAATTTATATTTAAGGTTTTCTTAAACAGTCTCAACAGTCAAGTTCACTGTTTTTTAAATATCAAATGTGGTGTATGATAAATAAAGACTAATTATAAGGAAATTATATTATAGGGAAAAAAATCACACTATAGATTATTTAACTTACCAACTTTGTGAGATTGGGAAAAATTTTGCTTTCGAAAGGGAATGATTGGTCATCGATAATGTGCCAATGGAATGTGTTGAGCTTATTGTAAGACATAGCATCCTGAAAAGAAGATAAACTACATGTTAATGTATAATTATCACAAAGACTCCTAAAAAATAAAATGCAAATTTATTGTTTGTTTAGTACATTTTAACTTTATGAAAATTTCGCTTAGTGAAAAAATGATGATTTTATATTCTTTAAAAAGTAGATGGCGAAGTTTCTCCTATCTCAATTAGGTTTTAGAACAAATGAAAACGTTTAACATAAATTGAATAATACAGAATATTATGTGAATAAAATATAACACTCATTACGCAATTCAACATATATAAAAGATGAAACCCTGATGGTTTTCTAAAATAACAGCCATAGCTAAAACGGGAAATCTTTATAATTACAAGTTTATCAACACATTATAAGGTAAAGCTCTTATTTAACAGGTTTAAGAGAGTCTCACAATTAAATTGATTGATGTTAATGTTTGATTCATTGATGTTAAATTGATGACTGTCAAGATATTTTTCTTTACTGCTAATCTGGCCACGAGCTCTTTTCTCTCTAGTTTTGGCATGATAATTTGCAAAATAATATACAAATCTTAACTTCTTGGTGCTATAATAATTTTATTTACTTCTAAGTTTTCATTAATGTTTTTCTTCTCTCTGAAAAGTAAGCTTTTATCGAAATGTAAAACATGGCTTACCAAATTCTTCTTGAGAGTTTTGATTGGTAGATAATGTCTGGCTGTGTCCAATAGCATACCTCGGTATTTAAATCTTGGCTCATCTTCAATGCTTGTTGCATTAATGAGGTTCTGAAAAGTGAAAAAAATGAGCAATTATTCTCTACGTATAAATTATTATTTGTAATCTATGCGTTAGAAGTAAAAAAAGAAAAAACCCAACGCTTCCACTGCTTGGAAAAAAAGTATTGTCATAGGAATTGTAAAACGAAAAGTATTGTAAAATGAAAAAAAATAGATTGTAGAACAAAGAAGTGAGGAACCACATGATCGTTTGTAAATACCAATAAATTAACTAAATATAAACATTATAAGAAAACTGCCCAATGTAAATATTAAAATTAAAGTGAAATTGAAACCTTTGCAATTCTCATGAATGATTCGTTACCACTTTTTACATTTTTTCCGGTTGTGACCATCCTGTCTGATGATTGTTTTACCACAATTTTACTTTTCCTTGAAAAGGTAATAAGAGGTGGCATAATCATTTTCAAATTACATTTTATCTAGAAAAAATAAGATATTCGTAAATACAAATCTATACCTAAATCTGACATCCTGTTACTATCCTTTTTTTTTTCAAAGTAAAATTTTCGTTAGTAGGAAAAAATATTTACTTAATTTAAACACAAACGTTCAACGCCTTTTTTTCTTCACATAAATTTGGCAACGAGATGACAAGTTTGATAATAAAATATCACTTTTTAATTTATAACGGAATATATTATACAAACAGAAAGTGCATAAAAATTAAAATAATAAAATTCGTTTCCTAATTTAAAACTGAATATACTATACGAACGAGAAAAGTTTGAGAATTGAAAGAATAAAATTTTTTTTAATGTATCACGGAATATAAAAGTTTTAAAAATCAAAAGAATAAAACGTGATTCTAAATTTATATTGAATTATACTATACAAACGAAAAAAGTTCGAGAATTAAAAGAATGCAATGAGTTTTTATTGTATCATGGAACATATTGTAAGGGGAAAAAAAAAGACTTAAGGATGAAAAATTGAAATGTGTATCTTAAGTTATAACGAATTATACTATAAAAACAAAAAAAAGCTTAAGAATTGAAAAAATAAATATATTTTTTAATTTATGACGAAATGTACTATAGGAAAGAAAAAGGCTAAAGAATTAACAGAATGAAATGTGTACGCACATGGCCATTTTCATCTTGATAAATCAACTGACTGAATGTTTCCAAACCTCTCAAAGCACCCCATATAGTTTTAGTCGTGATTTCTGCTGAACCACTGGCAGGAATAGAAATAGAATCTGTAATAAAAAGACAAGTAAATAAATAAATAAACCATGCAAACATAAAGTATACAACTTTATTTATGTCTGTGTCTTAACACATTCATAGTGTGTTAGAGACCTCATTTATTTCGTAATTTGAACTGCAGGAAACCACGGCGTTTGGACAAAATCTCTCTTTACAGAATATAAAGCTGAGAGCTCTGGTATTAACAGCAATGGATACGTTTATGATTATAATGTAAGTATTTGGCGTAGTTTAGCCACTGCTGACTTTGGCACCATTACATCCTAAATTCAAGAATCAGCGAAAACTTGAAGTTGCAGATCATTTCAACAAATGAACTCCTGAGGCTCAGGGGACAGAGCGTTCGCCTTCGAATGAAGTGAACTGACGGATTCAAATCCCAGAGATGGCTGGTCGATACGAATTCCGCATCAGGATTGCACCGACCACCGTGCTGACGTAAAACATCCTCAGGGGTAGATGGATCATGGGTTAGAGTCTCCCTGCCGTCAGGCTAACTCTGGGAGGTTTTCGTGATTTTCCTCATCATGTAATGCAAATGCTGGCTAGGTTCATACAAAAGTCTTCCATGAAAGCAAAATTCTCCAAATAATTTATCCAGGAGTTCCCTTGTCTTCTGGATTGGGTTCAAAATTAGAAGGCTACGGAGTTGAACCTTAGTAGTCGTTAACCCGAAAAATTGAGCTTGCTGTTCAAGGACGGTTATAAAAAATAAAAATATTAACTCCTGTTCATAATTATTCTCATCTATCGAGCTTCCTGATTAATTTATAGACTTAAAAAAATTAATAAAAAATTCCTAAAATTAATGAAAAATTCCTAAAATTAATAAAAGAAATCCGGAAATTAATAAAAAAATTCCTAAAATTTATAAAAAATTCCTAAAATTAATTAAAAAAATTCCGAAAATTAATAAAAAAATTCCGAAAATTAATAAAAAAATTCCTAAAATTAATAAAAAATTCCTAAAATTAATAAAAAGATTCCTAAAATTAATAGAAAATTCATAAAATTAATAATAATAAACTTAAAAGAAATAGAATTCTTACAAGATTCATCATCTTCGTGTTTAGGATATCCACAGTCATAATCGCTTTGTACTTTCACGTGGAGTCCATCGAGCTCATTGTGACTAGAGTGCTTCTTGCCTTTCATGCTCATGATCATCTTCTTATAGCGTTGGAGACTGTCATCGATGACGTCACAGTCGGAGGCTGTAGAACTGATGTAGAACTTTTCAGGATCTATGGTTCGTAACTCTGTAGACCATTCCCATGATTTTGGGAAAGGCCATGGGGATCCAGGTGGAGATCTTTCACCCTGAAATACATAGATGAAGATGTTACACAGAGATTTTTTTTACACCGAGAACAGATTTGATGAAATGATGTTTTGTTTATTCAATATATCAATCTATCTAACTATATCTACACATCAATCTATCTAACTATATCTACACATCAATCTATCTATCTAACTATATCTACACATCAATCTATCTATCTAACTATATCTACATATCTATCTAACTATATCTACATANCTATATCTACACATCAATCTATCTATCTAACTATATCTACATATCTATCTACCTATTAATATTTAAATATTAATAGATCTTAGTAACGTGGGACTGACAAATTTCCCAAGGAAACATCGTCTCATTTTCTGAGAATATTAGATCAATATTATTACTTTCTTTGTGCGAAAGATTTTAAATGATTGCGTGTTAGATATAAGCTCTATTTATGGATTATATTTAATATATAATTTTTTTTAACATTGCATATATACATAAAAATATTTTTTATAGAAGCAATACATAAATAAAAATATATGTTTCTAACCCCATTGCTTTTAATTGAAAAATTCGACGAGAAATACAGATGCAATTTTTATAAATTTTTCGATTTCTTTTTTTAATGGCATTTTATTTAAATACCGTCATAAAAATGACTAAACCATCAAAAAAATTACGGTTTATTGTTTTAATTGAAACTACTTGGAATTATAATTTATTTGAAATTATATTTTGTCTAAATATAATTTCAAGTTTTGAAGAATCGTTACTGATTGGAAACATTCAAACTGAGACAACCCCCCGAGACCCTTCCACGGAACTTCAGGATTCAGCGAAACACAATTTGAGAACCGATGGCTTAGCCAGTTAGCTTTCGGTGAATTAGAATTTAGTTTACATTAAGTCACTGAACGAATCACAGTCAACTTGTATGTTTCGATTGTTAAGTTTTTACCATGTGCCAGTAGAGGCAGTATAATAATACTTGAGGTATTAAGAATTTTTTTTTTAAATCGAGCTTTTTTTTAAATTCGAACTTTCTCTACTCATAGAAGCACAATTGTCTCACCTATGTTCCTTCTGAACATAGGTTTGAATTATTGATTTGTCACAGGTAAAACAATTTATGATCTAACTTTTAGGAAGAAAATTTTTACATATAAATTTAAATATTGCCAACACCAATAAAAATATTTCTCAAAGACCGTACTAGTTGACAACTATGTTTTTACATACATGGCAAATTCTCCCACAAAACAGGAGATTTTTCTTGAATATTCTTGAGAATGTTATAAATATTTTATGTTCAACTATTTTTTTTATTTAATAAACTTGATTCACAATGATTTTGTTTACCACGATAATTAATTAATTAAGCAAATAAAATCTGAAAATTCTGCAGAAATCGACCGATAACTGTTGGGGTACTATTTATTATTATATTGTTTTTTCCAAACGAAATATGAAATAAGGCTCGAACAAAAGCTATTGAGCAGTTTCGAAGATGCATTCACTTATTTTAATATGCCCCGTAAAAAATTGTTTACCTGAATCTTGGATTTTCAGAGCCCCAAATGGGGTCCTTTACTGCAAGAAACAAGGATTCCGATTATAATCACTAAGTTAACACCCAGGGTCACCCCGGGGAAAGGAGAATTTTTTTCTTCCAAAAAATGCTTATTTTCACATTTTCATCGCGATGAAAAAGAAGTAAAAATAAGGAATGTAGCTAATATAGAAGACGAGAGTGTTTTCTTTTGCAGACTTGTATTTATCCGAAGGTCAGGTGATTATTTTTTTTTCAATCTAAAAAACTGCTCTACAAACTGACTTGGCCGGCTTGGCGACAAGTCAATGTACTTTTCTTGCCAGACAAGATTCTATTTTTTTTTCTCCTTTTAAGTTTACAGTTTATTTTTCCCTTGGATACGGATAATACAAAAAAATTAAAACTTTATCGTTTGAAACTATTACTTTAAAAGGTTTTAAACGTAGGTCAAACGAATTATGTGAATGATTATTCTAATGTGAATGTGAATGATTATTCTATTTTTAGTTATTGAATATGTTGCATCAAAATTTATAAAAGTAAAACTAAGATGATAAAATTGTCTACTTTTATTTGTTTGAAATCTATCATCGTAGCATGGTGATTATTGCTTTATGCGAGAGTTGAAACTATAATTTCCGAAATTAACTCAGTTGAATAATTAACATAAAACAGTTTACTTAACCTAGATAATTCTCCTCTAAAGACTTATTTTATTAAAAGAAATATTTTTATTTCCTGAAGTAAAATAAAAATTATACTTTTTTTAAAAACAGACAGCTGCTAAGTAGCTTGACAATATAATAATCAGCTTAAATAGCTGATTATTATATTATTATCAGGTTTTCTTTCCAGAATAAGACATGACACATCTAACACTTTTCGAGAAATAAATAATTTTATTACAGTTAGTATGTTAAGTGACATCTAGTTTAAATATATATTTCATAATTATTGTTAATTAAAATTACTATAATTTTTCAGGGACAAACAATTTTCTTTTATTGCTATTATACATTGTTTAATTAAAGTGTACTTTTAAATATTAAGTCAGAAACAAAGCTACTACTTCTCAATTTTCATTAGAGACATTTGAGGATTTCTAGATTTTTTTATTTCAATTAACACAATGATGAATGAAATTATATTTGAATGTAAAGGTTGAAAAAATTATACTAATCTACTACTTTCAATAAACTAAAGGATTTTTTTCTCAAATTTTTTTATTACAATCGATATAGAGTAGGATAAAACTATATTTTCTTTAATAAAAAAAATGGCTGAAACACACAATGCTACTAAAGACAGGTTTCAATAAATTCGAAGAATTCTAGACTTTTATTTCAATTAACAAATTGTTGTATCAAATAATATTTAAACTAATGTTCGATCCTAAGCTTCCTAGAGGATTTTAAAATTTTCTTTTACATATTATTGGATTAAAAAAGAATTAATCTAAATTAGAAGAATTCTAGATTTTTATTTCAATTAACAAATTGTCGTATCAAATAATATTTAAACTAATGTTCAGTCCAAAGCTTCCAATAAAATAGAGGATTTTAAAATTTTTCGTTTGCACATTGTTGGATCTAAAAAGAATCAATCTAAATTAGAAGAATTTTCGATTTTTTATTTCAATTAACAAATTGTAGTTTCAAATAACATTTAAACTAAAATGTTTAATTAAAAAGGTTTTTTAAATAATACAAAAATTAACACGCTTAAATTAACTCTTTGAATTATCAAACAAAGAAAACACATCAATTGACTCAAAGGTACCTACTATATTTCAAAAACATCTTCTTGAAACGAGGTTAAAGTAGAGGAAAAATGAACAAAAATTTAAAAAATTTCAAAGTTATGAAAGAAAAAAAATTTTCTTAGACTTTATAAGAATTAATTAAGTTAACAAATGTACCAGCCCTTTCGACGAAATTAAAAAAAGCAACATGGGCAAAAAATTGTAAAATTCATGGCTCCGTTGAACATTAAAGTTGTGAAGTGGGTGTTACAAAATATTTATGTCATGGTTAACTAGAGTTGCTTTTTAAGGTCAACAATTTTAATACATAACTGCTTTTAATAACTTATATTATATGGTGACATAAATAGTTCTTCTATGTCGATGAGTTTTAATGTGCGCTCAATTCCTATTTCATCGATAGTTTGTTAACGCCCCTCTAGAAATCCCTATAATCCCTAGAACCTCTCAAATACCCATAATTTTCTTAGCGCCATTCTAAAAAGAGTACAGCACCCGCNTTTCGATTTTTTATTTCAATTAACAAATTGTAGTTTCAAATAACATTTAAACTAAAATGTTTAGTTAAAAACGTTTTTTAAATAATACAAAAATTAACACTCTTAAATTAACTCTTTGAATTATCAAACAAAGAAAACACATCAATTGACTTAAAGGTACCTACTATATTTCAAAGACATCTTCTTGAAGCGAGTTTAAAGTAGAGGAAAAATTAACAAAAATTTAAAAAATTTCAAAGTTATGAAAGAAAAAAAAATTTCTTAGACTTTATAAGAATTAATTAAGTTAACAAATGTACCAGCCCTTTCGGCGAAATTAAAAAAAGCAACATGGGCAAAAAATTGTAAAATTCATGGCTCCGTTGAACATTAAAGTTGTGAAGTGGGTGTTACAAAATATTTATGTCATGGTTAACTAGAGTTGCTTTTTAAGGTCAACAATTTTAATACATAACTGCTTTTAATAACTTATATTATATGGTGACATAAATAGTTCTTCTATGTCGATGAGTTTTAATGTGCGCTCAATTCCTATTTCATCGATAGTTTGTTAACGCCCCTCTAGAAATCCCTATAATCCCTAGAACCTCTCAAATACCCATAATTTTCTTAGCGCCATTCTAAAAAGAGTACAGCACCCGCGTTGGAAATCTAGGACCCACAGATAATAAATACGAAACAAAAATTATTTAAATAACTCAAGTTTCATGATGATTATATTTTCTTTGATAACTATTATTATTTTATTTTTTTCTTTGTTGAGAACAAAGAAGAACTTCATAGTTTGTTTTACAAATACGATTTGAGTTTTGGATATTATTTTTAGTATATTTTCTTCTTTCTTTAATGCATCCTCATTAAAAATAATCCCAACTTTTCCAGCTACTAACGTTAACGCACTTTGCAAATTGAAATACTATCCACCAAATTTTGCATGTTCCACGTGTAGGCAACTAACCTGGATCTAATATAATTTTCTAAATTGTGAACAAAATTACATTTGTAATCCTCAACAATTTTTTTCTTAGTTTCTAAACTTCAATACGACCGAAATAGATCTTTTAAATCGTTTCATTGCGTCGCCTTTATATTGAAAATACAATGTTACATTACATTGTCTCAATTGAAAGATTCTCGCACGAGACGCTAAGCAGTTAACAGTTAATGACCTGATATTTGAAACAAGTTTAAATTTAGCTCAGACGACGGGGTCTGGATATTAACTAATACATAAGTAGGTAATTTCGATTCTAAACTGTTTTTTTTTAAATTAATTTTCCATCGACCTATTTAATATTCAACTTCTTTTTAGAACTTTAGTCAATCATAAAATAATTATTATAAGATAAATATCTTTTCATCTACGCCTCTCGATACTTTTTCTTTATTGCTTACTGCATTAGATTAAATTTATTTTTTATTGTTTACTGTATTGGATGGGAATTGAGATGATGACCCCCTTCTTCCTGTATGTCTCTAAATCTATTCCAGAATTAATCATGTTGCTGACCTCTTCATTTTGAAAGGCAGAATCCATTTCCAACAATATATACATGCTTCTTCCTCTATTTTCATTGTATGTATTCATGGTTTTTCTTTTCTTTTTAGTGCCCTGGCGAAAGGGCGACCCGGTCTTTTCGCCAAATTTTTAACAAGTTATGCATGATTAGCTGTGCATAACTTGTCGGCCAGAAAAGAATGTGTGAAAATAAAGTTCGGTGTGAGAATTTTGGAAATGTCCTGACAGAGGAAATTATAATTGTGAAAAAAAATGGGGGGAAAATCTATGTTATATCATTTGGAGAAAAAAAAAAGACCAAAACAAATGTGTCCTGACAGAGGAAATTATAATTTACTAAGTGAAAAAAAACCTATGTTATATTATTTGGAGGAAGAAAAAAATTAATTTTCCGGAATTTTTTTGTCAGTAAAAATAATGAGACTCAAATTAGGCTGACTTTTTCCAACTAGCACTAAATTAATTAATTTCCTATCACTCTGTAAAATAATTTATTTCCTGTGAATTCCTATTATAAATGAACTTCCTGTAAATTAAAATTATAATTAATTTCCTATCACTTCATAAAATTAGTAATTTCCTGTAAATTCGTATTATAATGAGCTTCCTGTAAATTGATATTATAATTAATTTTCACTTCTTCTATCATAAAAAATTCCTATTAATTTTAATCGTAGTTTATTTTCTATCACCATTTCATCATAATAAGTTTTTATATTCACTTCATATTATGATTAACAAGTCTGTCACTTATTAAAATAATTTTAATTCTTTTGCTTTTTAACCCTCAACACACGTATGTTATATCGGTAGGTTAACAGAGTCATCGCTTTGTTTAAGATTATATATTTTTTTAACCAGCGAGAACAGTCAACTCAATTCTGAAATTAAGACAATCATTGTTCCACTCCGTAGCCTTGTAATTTTAATCCAGGAGACAAGAGAACTACTGGATCAAGCATTGGGACAAACTAGCCTTTGTGGAAGACTTTTTGATGTAACTAAAGGTCTGGTTTCTTAGGACAAGCGCGTTATCTGGGCGTCAGCGGGACGTCAACGCTGACGCTAACAAAATACTGGTTTGTTAGCTCAACCCGCATTTGCTAGGAAAGTCACGAAAACCTCTCCCGGTTAGCCTGGCGGCAAGGGGATTCTAACCCATGATCCGTCTACCACTGAGCATTCATGTCAGCACTTTGGACGGCTCGAGCTGGGAATAGAGTTCATATTGACCAGCAGCGCTGGGGTTCGAACCTAGGTCACCTCATAGGGAGGCGAGTGCTTCATCACCTGGGTCATCGCAGTTCTATAGATTATATAGGGTCAATTGAGACTAATGGGAAACATTACTAAACTCAGGAACAGTTTCTTTCCCTGTCGCATGAGATTTTTGAACTTATCTTAGATATTTTCTCGCCATTGATTTCAAGTTTGGAATCACGTGTCTCTCTACAAGCCAGAATTTTTCTGCAATAATAAACTTCCTAACCAGGAATGAACACTAAGCATCTCCACTTCTCTGATACATAGGGAGTGGTAGGTAGAAGACGATAATACGTTTTAGTTTATGATGCGATACGTTAAGCTATATATTTTTTAAACTTTAGTGCTATTTTCATAAGAGCAGAGAAGTGTATATGCAGAGGACAGCTCCCCTGCTTTGGTAACCCGATAACCTGCTCTCGAAGTCGAGCACTTTACAGTAGAACAGTTTAACGAGGACCGATACCACGCGCCCTCGGTCCCTACGCAGTCTGTTCAAAGTTGTCACCCACCCGCTTACTGACCGCAGCCAGTGATGCTTGACTTCAGTGCTCTACTGGGAACCATGTCTCTAAGATCAGTCCACTGCGGGACTGCATGAAGTGGCATTTAATATGAACTTTTGAGTTATTTTATCGTAGAGATGGGTCAAAAATTTTTAAATAAAATTTACTGAACGAAAATTAATTCATTAAAACACAAATTTTGCTACCACTAGAAAAATATTGCTTACAAAGAGAAGCAAGTAGACATTGTCAAATAATAAAAAAAAAGTATGCTTGCATATTCACTGGGAAAATCACAGTAGCATAGCAGCCAATTTGTACATTGGACAATCACCGAGAAAGATTTTAAAAAGTTGTAGTTTCATAAAACTTAAGGTACTAAAATTTTTCTTAAAATTAAACTAGTTCGCCAATATTTTAAAGCATAACTGTCGAAATAATAAATGTTATGTATATACGTTTGAATTATTGATTTGTCAATGTAGGTAAAGCACTTTAATGTTTTACGCTAATATCCAAGATTTAGACATTAATATACAAATGTTACGAACATTAAGAATTTCTTTTTTCCATGACTGTTCTAATTGGCATCTATGCAGCAAGTTGATTTTTCAAATAGCAATGCTAATATTAACAAAAAGTAGGCGATAGGAGATTTATTTTTATAAAAAACCTTTTGTTTCGGAAATAAAAAATAATTTTCTCCCAGTTCAAATATGTCGTATAAAAAATGTCAGCTTAAATTGACTTTATTTTGATTATTTAACATTTTGATGATAAATGTTATTAATTCATTGATTAGCTAAAAGAAGAGAATTTAAAAAAAATACTCTATATTTAAATGACAGCATCTCTTTTAAGAGATAGCATTATTATTTTAAATTTTAATACTGTAAAAAGTTTTATTATAAAAATAGTGGTAGTGCATTAAATTTTGATTATATAAATACTAAGTTACATTATCTACCATTTAAGATTTAAAAATTTAAAATCCATGACGATTCCAGATATGAATTAGGTGGTTTATAATACAGTAAACCTCAGTGGACATGCTTGCTTTTCCCTCCAAGATAAAAGTTAATATTAAAATAATTGCTCTACCAGTTTTTTAGGCAGAAAAAGAACAAACTGAAACTTATGCGGCCGAAGACTTTTACGATAGCGCCGCAAGCGGCCCCAAGTGCCCGATTAGAAGAACAGGATTCTGAACAACTTTGAAAGTATAAATGACATGCATGAAATAAATAATGAATGGGACAATTTGAAATTATTATAATTTACCGGTTACCATTTTTTTTTATCTTTAGGTTTTAAAAGCAACACAAGTCTCGTTTTAAAATCAAGTGAGTCATAGTGAGCAATTATTATAGATTACTTCGAATTATTTATGGGGGAAAAAATGGCGCGCAATAAGTTTATAAAGCAGAAAAGTAAGGTTTAATAAATCATGAAAATGTTTTGAGAGATATGAACAATTAAAACTATATTTACAGTAATTATAACATCCTCTTAAAAATGAAAACGATTTGGAATGTTTTTTTCCCTCTAATTTATTATACTTACAAACTAGCTTACCATTAATAAATAGGACCAGAGTGATTAAATAAAAGATTCTTCGAGAAACACTTAAAACGATTATTCTTCTTCGTTCTTTTTATTTATTTTATTCTTTCGAAGAATCAGCATTTATTGACAACTGTTTAGAATAGAAATGTTTTTTAAAGAAAATGTAAACTTTTTTAATAATCAAACAAAACAGTGTAAGAAAAAAGTAATATTTTATAAAATTCAAAAAGTTAAGCTAGTCAATAATGTCCTGGTAGAAAAAAAAACATCTAATTTTAAAGGTAATTTCAAAAAGAAGAAAGCTTTCCGTGACCTTCACCATTTTATTAACAGATATAAAATTATATATTCACTTACGAGAGTCTCGTGTGAAATGTGTTTAGCAGTGGTAGCGAATTAAAACCGAAAATTTTAAAGCAATTACATTTCGCATAACACCTTTCATGATGATAACAATTATATGTTTCAGTATAACCAATTTTTTACATGATATTCAATATGTCTGTTTAGATTATACGATAAATAGAATTCTCTTAATTCTAATGTATTAAAATATCGATACATTACCTTATTTAAAGAAAACATTTTTTAAAACTACGGAGATTCCGTAGTATTTGAAGTGTATGAAAATATATTAATAAACAGTAGCAATTACGGATAGTTTACTCCTCCAAAAATAAGTAAATAAATAATAAAGTACCCATAGAATTTTTACTTACCGGTAAAGGAAGTCGAACTTCAATATAGGTAATATATCCCGCAGAGGGTGCCCATAGGGATGCGAGAGAGCAAATTGCAAGCGCGGTGAGGATCATGATTGATCCTAACGTGTTTTTCAGAGAGGAACTAAAACCTCTTCTGATACCTGTTACCGAAGGGAATTGTTTATGTATCTGCTTATAAGCCAATCAACGACTGGATCGAGTCCTTCCTCTAGGTGGTTTGGAGGGAAAAACTTCCGCACCTTTTTTTTTCTTTTTATATGCATCTTAAATCGATAACAAATTTTGCATATTAGTAAATTTTGATTAAATATAATTTAATACATTTTTACTTTTCATAAGATGTTTGAATTTTATGCAGATACGCCATGGTTAATAGATAAAAGTCGTTACACGCTTTTCATTAATACCTTTAGTGGTTCTTTCGAAAGAATACTTAGTACGAAGTAGAAGTATGCACAATTATTTAAAACTCATAAGTATTACATACATTTTTTACAATTATTTGATTTTCCATATTAGTAAATTTCATTAAATAAAATTTAATAAAATTTTATTTTTTATTTTATTTTTCATTCCTATCAACTATCCATCGATACGGGATAATTGATGGATAAACGTCCTGATATGCTTTTCATTTATACTATTAATAGTTCTTTCCAAACAATGCTTTGTTCGAAGTGAAATGTCACACAATTATTTGAAACTGCTAGTAATTATTTTAGTTATTACACACATCTTTCACACTTAACAAGTTTTTCATATTATTGAATTTAAATTAAACAAAATTTAATCCTCCTTTTTCGTTATAATAGTAAAATGAAAAAAAGAAAAGAATCGGCATTTAAAGATAACATAGCTCATCTTTAAATGCCGACCTGCCAACTTTTATCCTAAGTTGTTAATTTTCAGAAAATGTAAACTGCCTATAATAACTAAAGCAAAAGTCAACGTGAATAAATCTTAAATGAAAGTATATAAATTGATCTACTATAGTTTCAGTTCTATAAACAACAACCTTTTTCTGTGACAAAACGACAGATGTAGGTAGGGAAGTAAAGAGACAATCTTTATCTCCTTACTCCTCTACCGTAAGTCTCTAGTGAAGTTTGTCTCTTTACTTCTCTGCCGTAAGTCTAGTAAAGTTTGTTTCTTTACTTCTCTATTTACTTCTTTACTTCTCTACAGCCAAAATAGAGAAAAACATTATCCAGTGTTACACAATCATGCTACATACATTTTATACTAAAAAAAAAAAAAGAAGCGAAATTTAGATTTAAAATTATAGCTGCATTTATTATAAAAGTAATTTTAACCATATTATGGTTACCACATGCGTTCTAAAGTTTAATTGCTACTGATAAAATCCGTTAATTTTGTTGGAGTTTTTCGTCTGAAATGCAAACAAAAAAGTAAGGGGATTTTATTGCTTTCTCTAAACGTTAATTCGAAAATCAATTCAAGGACATTTCCCCCATAAAATTCTGTAAAAAGTTTGAAACAATTTGAAATATTTTTAGGAAACAGGGAAATTGGATCTCAAAGAAAAGTTCGTTTAATATTTATTGCTAAACCCCGTCCCGCCCCCAAAGGGGGCATCCGGGTATTAATATTTACAAAAGTTATAACATGATGAGCTAAAATTTTCTTTATACAGATGAAAAGATGATCCGCAATACATTTTCCAGTTTAGACAAGTGGTAACAAGAGATAGGGCTATGACGTAATGAGCTTAATTTAAACAGATGAATAGATGCTCTCCAGTTTACAAAAGTTATAACATGATGAGCTAAAATTTTCTTTATACAGATGAAAAGATGATCTCCAATACATTTTCCAGTTTAGACAAGTGGTAACAAGAGATAGGACTATGACGTAAAGAGCTGAATTTAAACAGATGAATGGATGCCCTCCAGTTTACAATATATAAGATTCATGATATGATGAGCTAAAATTCTCTTTATACAAATGAAAAGATGAAAGTTCGTTTAATATATAATTCACTTCGGTTGTTTTACGAAGAAATTTCCAAAATGCTCTTGGTTCCTCTGGGAAAAAAATCGCAAAATAGATAAATTAGCAAAATTGAAGTCGAAGCCAGACTATAATTGTGTTTTTTCATCATGACTATCGTTTGCATCATATTTCCTTGTTAACGTCTTTCGCAGCATTTCACTTTGCATTTAAACAAGCTTCTTTCATCGGAATTTTATTATCATCCCAGAAAACAAGTCTTACGGCAACCTGGTGTCGGAATTTTCATTTTATTGTCACGGAGATGTTTGTACTAAAAACCTTTTTTCAATAAAGCAAAAATATTGCAGTTTCAAACCTTTCATTCCAAAAGGATAAAAGCGATTTTTAAAGCTTTCTTAAAAAGTATTGTCACTTAAGGCCTGATTTCTTAGGACAGGACGCCGTCAGCTGGAAATCAGCGCTAACCTCTGATTGGTCCATTTGTGAGTTTGATAGTATACGTCATCGAACGCTCATCTTAAACTACAATTGTCATCCAACTCAACTGCAGTTGGATTACAACGTGACGGTAACCACAGAAGCAATGGCGGACAACATCCAACACATTGAAACATTTGACATTAAACATAGCTTCTTCATTAAACATAGCACTCTTCATTTAGCTCAGCCATAATGTGTTTTTTCTTGAACAAAGTCATTATTTGTTCTCTAAAACACTGGTCGACAATAACAAAATCAATACAAATTCAAAATAAATATTTGTTTACGTTAATAACGCATGCACAATGAGAGACAATGTCTGCGTTTGACCGACTGCTCACGCTGAGCTAACAAAAAAGTTTTTTTTTGGCGTCAGCTCTACGTCAACTTTCCGCTGACGCCCAGATAAGGCGCTAGTTCTAAGAAACCAGGCCTTGAGCTAACAAACCAGTATTTTGTTGGCGTCAGCGGGACGTTGACGTCCCGCTGACGCACAGATAAGACGCTTGTCCTAAGAAACCAGACCTTTAGGTCCATAATGACGTTTTGGCTGACGTCACACTAGCGATAGGATCCAATTGCATTTGTCCATTAAAATTTCATGAGAAGGTGGATTTTAGCTGAGCATACAAGACTCTGCGAAAAGAAACCTTATAATTACCTAGATTTAAGATTACTTTCACCTTGAGACTAGCTTTATTAAAGGATTTTTTTTTACGTTTGAAAGCCCTAAGTCAACCTCGATTTAAGGTTTTAATATAAAAGGTTGTTTTCCAAGGTTTTGGATTAGGGTAATGTGTGTAGAATAGAGCAGAGTGTCACAGATCTCGTTTTAAGGTTAGAAGGATTACGCGCAAACAACATTACAAGCCTTTTTAGGTTTACATTAAAAGGTTATTGCCGAGTGAAAAGAAACCTACCTTATTTTGCTATCTGGGATTGCATATTTGTTCTTGTCACCTGCACACGACTACTCCACTCTGACACTCTTTAATTTTAGGACACCAATGCATGGCTAAAATGGAACTTCCAAGCACACTCAGACCCTCTTTCTTTTACAAATATATTTTGTTTATCAAATATCTCCGTTCCTATTACTTCGATCCTAAAGGCCTGTTTACACGGTCCAATTTCTTGAATCCGAGAAATTGGACGGATTTCTCTGTCCAAGAAATTGGATGATTCGTTAACACTATCCAAGTTCTTGAATGTTGCTGATTCGTTGAAAGAAAAACTTGCGCATGCGCATTGTTCATATTCAACATTATAAAATAATACTTTCATAAGTTTAAAATTGCTAAATAAATTCAAATAAAATCATAATAACACAAATAAACCGCAACAGATCAATTTATTTGGACTAAAATATATGAAAACAGACAAGAAGATGACATAATTTGCTACCTGATTGTTGACGTCACAAAACCTAAGACGCTCATTGGTTAAGGGAGAAAAAACTTGGATGGAAAGTAGAACATGCTCTACTATCGTCGAAGAAGTTGGACCAAGTTCTTGGATGTTTGTTTACACGATCAAAGCTCAAAGCAAAACAAGTTTCGATCAATATCAATCAATCTCTGTCCAAGAAATTGGATCGTCTAAACAGGCCTTAAGGTCCAGCGAATCGATTAGTAAGCTGATATCATGTAAACATCGTAAGCTCACACAAATTTTATTTAATAACCTTATTAAAAAAATTAAAAAAACAAGACACAAGAACATTTTAGCGCAAACAGGAACTACGAAAAAGTGTTCAAATTTTTACATCTTTATTTTTCATCTTTATTTTGAATTGCAAATTTTTCAATCAACGAGTCACCAGGTTGGAAGAAATTCAAATACATTTCAGAGATATTTGTGTGTTAAAAAACATTTCAGTTCTAGATTTTTTGAAATCTAAAGGAAAAGCTTTCGCTGTTTCATGCTACCCGCCACAATTTATATCTTCCTATATAAGAAACGTTGTTGACGTATGCCTGTTTTAGGCAGAAGGGGTGCGATTGTTCTTGTTTTCCAGTGGCGCCATCTATGAAAAGAATTCGAAGAAAAATAATATCTTTTTATTTGTATCTTCATAATTTTGTGCAAAATACACTAAAGCTAAATTATTTTTATTTAAGCTAAATTATTTATTTTTTAAAGCTAAATTATTTTTGTCAAAAATTTTTTTCTCCCAAGTTTTTCGTAGGCCCCTGAATTCCGTAGGCCCTAGGCACGTGCCTATAGGTTAATGCAGCCCTGCCCCCAGAGGTATTGATTTGTTATGGGAACAAGCAGGACTTTTGAGACTCGGCAGATTTAACGTGCATCAGTCACTTTACTACAGTCTTCGGCCGGCGGGGTTCGAACCCACGAACTCTCGGGCATGTGCCCAGCTCCCTACCGACCAGGCTATCCAGGCCATAAGAAATAGTCCTCTATGTATGTTATAACTTTTAATAAGTCTTGATAGTCCGGGATATTTTTACTCGTTCCGGAAAACAAAGAATGAAGTGGTTTTACTAACTAGATTTTTCTCTTTTTCCGGTGAATAAACAGTCTCGATTAGAAAAAAAATCCGCATTCTTTTGACTGCCCTCTTGACAATATTTTACATATTGCGACTGCTTTCTGTAGTTTGATGGTCATAAACACAAATCTGTCGAATAAAAGTATTTTTTTTAAATTATTTTTGTGAATGCGAGTTTTTGTGCCTGATTTCGCAATTTAATTAACAGTTGGCTTTCTTGGTGTAACTACCACTACGATTATTAAATATTAAT